AGCACACTATCCAAGAAAGCTTTCACACGTTCGTTCGCACAGGTCCTATTCGCGCAAGCGTTGTGCTATCTCGTCATTTCACTCAGCTTTGGACAAATCCCTTCTATCGTCAAAAAGCCCTTGTTGAAATGTTCACAGTCCTCAGTACATTTTAGCTAATACATCACTTGATTTTTCTTGCCGTAATGCTGGATGTCTGGTGGTACTTTTCACGAGTTGATGTTTCATCGTTTCACAATGGGTTGTCGTCTGGATTAACCTCATCCTGCTTACTCAGCCCCACGCTCACTTGGCCCACACGGAATGTGCACAGACCCCCGTCAAATCAATCTCGAACATTTTCATCGAATGAATCATGGAATTACTACTACCGCATTCTGAGGTTTCCTCACGTCGAGATTTTCCAATGATTGGACTAATAAGAGTGTACTACCGATACCATCTTAAAAAATCCACCTACATTATCGCTACCGCCATGATTAATCCCATAGTTCCGAAAAGTGCAGTCCTATTTGAAGATTGGATCGATCCGAGACTGCCACACCTCCTAACACCTTCTGGAATGAGTGGAATGCACCTATAAAACTTCTACCTGCCTTATTGAAAAGGGTGGTAGAACTCTCGTGATTTCAAAGCAGTAAATTCATACAAGGTCCTCGATCTCCTGGTTCAAGATGCTCTCAATTGTACTTTGAATCGTTTTGCCTGGCCAATAGCTTTCATTTTGACAGTACGAAGCCAGGGTTTCAATAGGTGTTGCACATTCCCCGGCGTTCGACAATATAAAATCACACACCCAGAAATTAACCGTAGCAGGGTATAGTTTCACCGGCTCTACATAGGAGAAAAAAGAGGCCCAAACTAATCACCCCAATAAATTCTATAATAAATTAATCGATAGTAAAAGTATAAAAGTTAAGAACAATAAACAAATTATTGAGTAATCTTCAATTGTACAGTTATTTAAATATTTAAATTCTCCGGATTGGAATGAAAACAATTGGATTATTGAAGGCCTTTGCCAGTGGTCAATTCCGGCCTGGTTTTTCTCCTAGGTAAAGACCGGCAATTCTGTCCAAATGCCCCACAGGTACTGTAGCATCGAGTTACAATACCCTGCACAAAGTTCAATGAATTTTATGCAACGAGGGAACACATTTAGCTATCGAGCTTTGCTTCCACTTCAACGGAGATATAGATCGTCAGGCATGTAGACAAGCGTCAACTGTGGATTCCAACCTTCTATTTGCTATGAGTTGATTTGCCGAATTACATTACTATCTTTTGATGTGTGACGGTCCTTCCCGTCTTTCGGCACATGTTTGGACGAGGTTTGACCGCGACTTGGCACGCACTGGCGGGTATTGGATCTCCACCACATCTCGATTTCTTCAATATTTTTCGTCTCAATGTAACAACTACTACTTGCTCATCACACTCATGTAAGCTGGACTTCATCATCTAGTAGCAGACCTAAATTCAAGCTGGCTTGGTCGATACCCGTCTATATCACTTGCTTATTTTTGAGAGCATCAACATGGCTTGGGGTGTGTTGGATGATTACAAACTGACGAAAGTTCCGGGAACCACTTTGTTCAACAAAGAAGGCGTCGATTTGGCAGATGGTGTTGAAGTCGATCCGAATATCAAGAAGTCTGGCTCAATCATTCTCATCCCTCAACCTAGTGATAGTGTGAATGATCCTCTGAACTGGTATTTGCTGATGAGATCCGGAATATGGTTTATCACTAATTGGGTCTAAGGTCCTCCACTCGCAAGAATGTTATTATTTGGATCCTTTCAATCGCCTCTGGGCTTACTGTATCGTGTGTATACCCACCTACTCAGCAAACAGTAGAGTAACTCTAACAATACTTAGACTCGGTCCTATGGTTACTCCAGGGTTTGGGGAAGTGGCTGCTACATATCATGTCAGCTTCAACACTGTGTCAATAGCTTTGGTAGGGGTTTTGACTTTGGTTACGGGTACATTCACATTCTTCACTTCCGCTGCAGCGACAGTGTGGGGAAAACGACCTCTGTTTATCATATCTATGGTTGTCCTGCTGATGACTTCAGTCTGGGGATTCTATGCCACTGTAAGCTCAACTTTTCTATAATCCCGAAAAGTCTTTAACACAAAGTCAGAGCCTCGTTTCCTTAACGGTGATGCGGGCAATTCAAGGTGCAGCTAGTGCTCCGGTAGAAACGCTGGTTACTTCCACAGTGTCCGATATCTTTTTTGTTCATCAACGAGGGCAAAAGCTGGCAGTATGGGGACTCGCTATGCTTACAGGTGCACTACTAGGGTAAGTCATCTTGAATCTACTTTTGAATTGTTTTTGGACTCATCAGTTTCAGTCAAGTCATTTCAGGGGTAATCATCGACACCATGGGATTTTCAGCATCTTTTGGAATCACCTCACTTTTCTACATAGTAATCATTCCTCTGATGTACTTCTTTGTTCCAGAGACGTCATACCAACGGAAAATATCCGAGCGTACTTATATCTCGGAGAAAGAATCCACAATGGAGATTGAAATCCAGGAGATAGAAGCAAAGAAAACATTCGTTGAAAGACTTTCTCTGTACAACGGTCGTATCTCTGATGCAGGCTTTTGGAAAACCGCAATCAAACCTATTCCGCTTATCGTCTACCCCGCCGTTGTTGTCAGCACCTTTATTTATGCATCATGTACGTCTGCACATACATTCGCCCATCAATAGTGTATGCTAATCCTGTTGTTTTAGTTCAAACATGGCTGATATCCTTCTCTCTCCTGTCCGTCAGCATTTTCTCGGCTCCACCTTACAATTTATCTTCATCACAAATTGGTCTTACAAATCTTCCCCAATTCTTCATGGGGATTGCCGCAACAATGTTGGCCGGTTGGGCCGCGGATAAGATTGCTGCATTCATGTCTCGTCACAATAACGGTGTTTATGAGCCGGAGTTTCGCTTAACTCTGATGATACCAGCAGTCATTCTTTCTACAATAGGCTTTTTCGGCTTCGGTATCTCTGTAGAACGAGGACTACCTATCTATTGGCCCGTAGCATTCATGACGATCAATTCCTTAGCTGTACCCTTTGCGACTTCAGCAAGCTTCACATATGTGATTGATTGCCATCCCAAAGATGCAAATCAAGCATTTGTAACAATCAATTTCGTCAAGGCGATTATGGTGTTTGTCTCCAGCTCTTTCATCAATGGGTGGCTGGAGACGGCTGGGGCAAAGAGCGTTTTTATAACTGTCGGTTTAATTAATGCAGGCATTAGTATGCTGGCGGTGCCAATTTATGTTTACGGAAAGAGACTTCGAAGCTTGGTATGCAATTAGTTCACTTCGTCCGATTCTTTCTCCCTGCTAACAGGTTCATATAGATCGCTAGAAGCTCATTGGCCAAGAAACTTTGAAGAATATGAGTTGATTATGATTTATTTATAACAGGTCTCGCGTTGTTTAATTCAAATAAAATATATCGCGAAAGTCATTTATACCATCCTGCTTCTCATCCTATGATCCGCGAAGATAACAATACATTTCTATTTCCATCCACTTCATCTCAAGATGGTTCACTAAAAATTTGGGCATCAAAGCGCATTTCTCCGAATTGATAATTGCAATAAAAGTGGCTGATGTTTGGCGTTTTCATCTATCTGACTGCCAGGTATTGCCAAGCTAATCGAGAAGAACTCCCTGAAGCGTAGGAAGTTACGCATTGAAGTTGTGTGGCGACTTTGTTTTAGGATGTGGGGATGATGGGATGAAAATCGGTATTTTGGTGGGTCCACGGGGAGTTGCGCAAAACTCAAAGCTACAATAAATCCCTTAGGACAGGAGATTTAACAAAGTCCTGTTCTTTTCGTCGTTGTCTAGACACCCTTCATGGTTAATTTCATCGATGCGTATGTCAATTTGGAGACGGGATGGCGACCAGTCTTTGAGTTGTCTAGTACATCCCCATTTCGGCTTCGAAAATGGCTCAGAAACACCCCGAGATAACTTATGTATTTATCAAAGCCTTTTATGATCGGCTGCCTACTAGGTAGCTCTCAGGATGGGATATAAATTCAAGAACGAAAAGCCATTGTCATGGAATTTGTTGATCCTGTACACAGATATCACAGACAATGTTGAGTATTCAGATCCACCAGCATCATATTGCTCATTAATCGGTTCCGAAGTAACGATAAAACACAGAGCAGATACACCAAAATTACATACAAAGCATATCTAGCTTCATAGCATCGATGTTTCTTACCGATCATCAATCCACAGCCTCCATCCATATCCTAAAGAAGCCCTTCAAAATCGTTGTACGTTTTCCCCATAGAAGATCAGAAAATGAAGAATAAGACATTGACGTTGGAATTGAGAGATAGCGCCACCGATGACACTATAGCTGCTCCAATCTACCTTTACGCTCTGGCATCTGTGAAAGGCCGGCGAAGCACCATTTTGTTATGGTCGTGTTGGTAACGGAAGAAGATGTAATGTAATTTTCCACGTGAACTGATTCGCCAGCCTGGAGACCCTGTGCAATATTCTAATCAGACTGTAGTATAATCTGAGGTTTCTGCTTTGAGGTTCTGAGGTATTTGCCAAAATTAAAGTTCGAGTTGTTGATTTTGAATCGTTAGATGGGGAAGTTGCGACGAGAACTTCAAAGTTCATCTCTACACGGATTTAGAAATATACTAACGAACTTCAAAACCATGCCAATTCTGGTCGAAAGGATGAACTTTCCCGTGTAACTTCTCTGGGCCGATAGAGCTTGCCTCGTTGTCATTTGAGTGTCCTTGAGGTAGGATCCTTGCGATTCTCATCTCGAATCACAACCCCTCGAAGACACAACCAGGATACAGATCAACATAGCCCTCCCACACTTTGAGAACCTATCCTTCTCATCAAGACCCAAGCTGGAAATCATTTTCATTTCTTAGGATACCATTGATCACCGACAGAAGGTCCTCAAGACCCGATATCACATCACCATGAAGAGTCAAAATATCCACAAAGATGAAGCCCATATTCCAATGAGATTCCGCATCTTAATCTACGCATTAGAAAGAGGAATCACGCAGGCTGCATTCGTGCAAGCTTACAGCGAAATACTTTCCAATGTTGAGGAAACAGAGTACGATTTATCACCAGAGATGCGCCAATCAATGGTAGAGCGCCAAGTCTGGATGGAACTTTGTATGCGATCCAACTATTTTGATTTGTTGGATGTATCTAATAAATCGAACAGTCCCTGATGAGACTTCTCCGCCACCACTCGAATTTCCAGTTGCAGAGGGATATTTCGATCCGCCAGTTTCCCGAAAAGCAGTTGAGCAATATCGAATCTGGCAAATAAGTTATCTTGATAGTCAGCAAAACCAACAGAACAATAGCGAGCCACAATATAACAAGATGCAGCAGAATGGGAGACATGCTAAATCCAGCTCTGACATATCAATCTCTCCAGTAATACAGTATGACACGAGAGTAGACCCTGGTACTGAAATTATGATGAATAACTCGACCAGGCTTTCTGACCACATTGCCCCGACATCTGATGAGGATCTCCGCCCAGACCTACCACAACGCGCACGAACATATGAAGAAGCAATGCATAATAGCGATATCATATCAATAGGAGATCCGGCTGTGGATGACTTGACCATCATTCTAAGAGTTGATGAGGGCGGAGCGAGTATGCTCAATCAGTCAATTAGGCCTTCGAGATCCACATCATCGATGGTTGGCCATTTCAATCAACAACTCAATATTCAACAGCCAGAAACCCCAGAATCTGAAGCCGACCTGTCTAATGGTGAAATGGTACAGGTTTGAAGGGTCTTCTTCGACTGATTTGGACGCACGTATTTCGCAATTGAATCAAGACCTTTAGTTGAGAGATCATAGAGGTAGTGAATCTAAATGAGGTCTGTCTGGGGAGTTTGAAGAATACTTTGGAGGGGACAAAAAGTATTGTTGTAGCAGTGGGTGGATACAACAAAGCAAGAAAGAATTATAGGATAGTGAAATGGTTTTCCTTCCGCTTTTGTAATGATTCTCCAATTGCTTGTGCGAAAATTATTGGAATTTTGTTCTGACAGTGTTCATGAAGTCAAGGGATCAATAATGAAAACCAGTCTGCCAAGGAAAGCGCAGTAATAATATCACATTGTTACTTAATCGTGATGTTGGGTATATAATTACATTAGAATTAAGTTATACTGAGTAGTCTACCAATAGACAGTCCAATTTCTCATCACCACTCTGCCAGTATCTTAACAGCTCAAATCATACTTGAGGTTACCATTTCCATCTACAACACCGAACGATGGGCTGGCATCAAAGTCCTGAAGAGAGTACCAGAAAGTGTGTCCCTGGTTGAATGCCTCGCAAGCAACATTCTTCCAGTAAGTACGAGCATTATCAACCGATGCAACAGCCGCATTCTCCTGGGCACCTGCAGTAGGCCATCCACTCTCCGTAACCCAAACCCAAGCGCCACTTTGAGCGTTCTGAACAGTCGAGCGGACTTGGTTTACAGAGTCCCAGAATAGTTGAGAACCCTGGCTGATATCGTTGTTTTGTGTGTTTTGGAAATAGGGGTAACCGTCCAATCCGATAAAGTCACATGCTTTGATAACTTCAGTGTTTCTTCCATCAACCCACATGGTCCATGTATCGACGTGTCCAACTTGTACTGCGCTACTGTATCCTGCAACAGTGCTCAACATTCCTCTAACGTCGTAGATCTGTTGTGCGAGTGTGGAAGCGGTAGTATCTCCTCTGTACAAATCTTCCGAACCAACGGATACTGCAACGACCCAATCGAAACCATAAGTCTGAACGGCGTGCAACAAAGCTTGTTTCTCGGCATCGTAATGAGCGGCATCCTCGGTCCAAACACCTAAGAGAACTTTTCCGCCGGTGGCAATAGCAGCTGGGGCAACGTTGGCAATGGTGTTACAATCCGATGATGCGTAGACTCTTAGACTGTCGAATCCACCGGGGAATGATTGGATGAGGCGGAAATCGTTTTCCCAATCAGCTTGGGTCTTGCAAGCACCGTTTCCGAGGGTAGCTTGGGAGTTGAAACCTTTCCAGTATGCGTTTGCGCCGGTGAGGGTGCTCGCAAGTGCGAGGGCAATAGATGTTGACTTCATGATGATGATATAAATAGAGATTAATTTAAACGATTGTATAGAGTGCAATGAAGAACTCTGGGTAGGTAGGTATGTGAAGGAGGTAGTGGTAGGTAGATTATATAATAGATATTGAAACAAAATAGAAAGAGGCAAGAAGGGAAAACATGAGATACTTATTCAATTGCCAAGAACGACTATTACCACATTTACGAGTCCCTGACGTCTTGCATACCTAGTAAATACTTACTTGCATATGAAGTGTCTTTTTTTCTCGTATTTTCGATGTCGTGTGAACATCGGACTGGGTTATCCGGTGTGTTCGTATTCAACGTCATTTGTTTATGTTGCCTTGTATAAGTAAGATGAAGAATCTTTTCTAGAAGATCAGCATTTTATGCTTGTAAGACCAGCTTGGCGTTACTATATATAGTTCCCATAGCCAATTGGACAATCTGACAGCTGTGGAAATAGTGGGGATTATCATCTAGGTTAATCTTAGAGTTGAATGGTGGTTGGAATCTGTTCAGATGAATTGTTTATGCTTAATTTCTGTTGTGTAAATGGAAGATGTAAGGCAAATTATGAATGGTGTAAGCTAATGACTATTGGATACCAGGGGTATCAGCTACCGGACTCGAGAGAAAAGGAGAAGAAGTATCAGCTGGACCAATCACGAGTCTTCGGGTACGACTGGGCTGTGCAGTGTTACTTAGCAATGGATTCATTCCAGTATTCCGATCTCCAAGTGATGATCATGGCTCGATTGTTCATTCCTTCAGGAGACGGAGTCGAGAGTGTATACAAAATTTCAAAGACTAGCATGAACCTACCACTGTCGGTGGGGTTAATGTCTGGTTGAATTGGCTTCAAAAACAATCAGTAGCTTCGAAAGGGGTTCTCTGAAGTTGATACCTACCGTCTTTCGTTATGAGACCCCCTCTCAAAATCCAGCTGGATCATTCTTGTGCTGCACTATATATGCTTCTTATATGTTCCCATATTTGTCTATATTTGGTAATGATTCCTAGTCTTTAAGACATAGATCTATTTGGCACAATCGTAGATTAGGTCTAGAAAGTGAAAAGGGGGCCAAGACCCTCCTGTACATATTTTGCCGAAAGTAGGTTGTCTTTCATTTTGACATCCCGTCCTCGAACGTTATATTCTGAATGATTCGCCCAGTTGAATCTAAGAATCTTCAAAGCACTGAAGCATTGACACGCGATTGGGAATAGTAAGCCAAATCTAAAGTGAGAGACGTCGGCTTGGCCATTTTTACCTCCTAGTTCTAGTACAGGAGAGAATGAATCGAACGCCAAGCCCCAATGCAAGACACCTTCATCCCATATGATACATAGACGTTCATTTGTTTCTTTTATTTTTGCCCCCTTCCTCATCCACACCCACTGCTCATTTCCTTATCATGAAAGATGTCCAGCCGCCAGACTTCGGCTTTTGTTCTTCCCCGTCAGTCCCTATCCTATCCAGCGGTCCACCATTTCTCTGTCTCTCCTTCTCTGCCTCAAATGCGGATTTGGCCTTATTTTGTATTGCCATTTTCTTCTCCTCGATCGCTCTTAGCACATCACTTTCCCTCTCCCCAAGATTATCGTCCTCTTCGCTCATTGCCTCGTATCCTAGCCTTCTCTCACTCGTCCCTACATCATCTCCCTCTTCTTCTTTCTTGAGGCCCGAGAATAACCAATCCTTACTCTTCTTCCATGCTCCAGGTGCCTTCTTTTTGGCCTCTTCCGCAATCTTCACTTTCTGTTCCCGCTCCTTTTCTCTATTCAAAAACTCGATTTGTGATTCGGTTGCGGTGCCGGATGCTGCGGCAGCTTGTGCACTCTCAAGTGCCATAGCATATTTGAATTTCTGTTCTGCGTAAAACTCGGCGCGCTTTTTGCGATTATATACCATCATATCTCCGAGTGCATAGACTGTGACGCCACCGGCAATGACTAAAAGGAATCAATTAGCACATGTACAGCTTAAGCTACCAGGCCCTCCAGAGTCAAATCAAGAACAATAGATTTCCAACTGAAAGCGGACAACAATGCGGGGAAAACATACATGTAAGTCCAATCAAACTGAAAGCTGTAAACCTATGCGCCTTATCCGCCCATACTCTTCCCCTCAAGAGAAACTTGTCGAAAGTCGAAATTTGTGCATCTCGAGCTCTATCTGCCGCAGCTCTTAACCTCTTGACTCTCTGTTGCGGTGTCTCTCCCGGTGGTCCTGGATTTCTCGATACGGGTTTTGGTTTTGTAGCAGCGTGTGGGGTCGTCGAAGTAAATCGTGTTGCATCTGTTGCTGAGCGCGCCATCCTTTGAAATATTAATCAAGAGGATCTGGAATTGGAAATATCGTAATCTGGTGGTGTCGTCGTATTAAAATGGAGGAGGATTATGATAGAACTTTCAATATCGAATGATTTTTTTCGAGATGTCAATGACCAGTGGGATTTCTTAGCGGCGGGTCATTCCGCATCCCTGCAAGAAGGTTACCATATCTTACCACACAGACTTGATGATGGAAGCTCTTTGAATAATCAATATATACTCGAGTACAATATCAATTCAAATCACATCGTAGCCAATTCATTCATCTTCGGTACAGCATCTATAGATATCAACATCTAGAAGTGATTAAGCCTCATAATTCATGATAGAGACACTTGCAAGGACGATGATATAAACTTCGCGATATTTGCGACCTCTAATCCTTCCTTCAGTCATTATCATCCCCAATCAAGAAAGAATAAATCAATATAAATTTATCAATTCGTCACAATGGCGTCCAATAATACAACTCCAGATCTTGCTTCTGTAATGGAAATCTTAGCAAATCTAGCAAAAGCCAAGAATCAACAACAAGCTCAACCTTCCATGCAAACAGCTTCAGCTCAAACACCAGATATCACGTCACTTGGTCAAGCAATCCAGCAGCAGCAACAACCACAACCACAATGGTCTCAGTCTGCAGCCCCTTCAACAATACATCGTGAATCTGGTCAGCTTCAAGCTCACGTACAGTCTACCAATAATCCAAAGGCCGTTGATCCAGCTACTATCATTGACTGGAGTGCGGGCCTGCGATGTGTTATGAGGACGTTGAATAAACACGATCATGTACTCCAGGAAATTAGAAAGGTTGGTTCTATTTGCTATCAGCAGTTTGGCTTGCTCTAGTACCTGGTTGTAAAGCATTTTACTTGAGCTTACATATACATAGATGATCAAAGTGCAACATGAGCATGAAGAGCAATGGTGGAAATCGAGAGAAGCTCTTATAGAGCGACAGGTTGCTAGAAAGGAAGGACAGAAGAAATTAGAAGAGGTGTTGTGAGTTATCCTACTATATTGATTGAGCTCCGGTGATGCAAATGGCTGATCTCGATATAGGAAAGCTGTAGGTGGAGCCACATCAAGCGGGACATCTAACACCAGTCCCGAAGAATTGGCCAGAGAGCTCGAGACATTCGACATGAAAGTTTACAAAGCTCAAACTCAAATGGTCAGAGAGATGAATGGAAAATTAAGGAATTTAGGAATACCATTCTTCGGGACGAAAAGTGAGTTGGTTAGAATTCCTGGGAAGAGTGATGCCACGAATAGGGCAGCAACAACTGGCACGGAGGGGGAGAAAGGTATGATTGATGAGGATGAATTGGTGGAGCTGCAGAAGAAAATGCTTAATATCCTGGAAGATATGTGCAATGACTGAGCTGGGTTACAGCTAATCAAACAAGCATGTTTCGAGCGAGCTCTTTTGTTGCATGTCGTCAGGAAGAACTCCTTCCATAAAATTTGGCCAAAAGGAGAAATTAAGGAATAGGAAGGAGGCCAAAATGTTTGATTTGAACCCCCGAGTCATTTCAACATCAATGCCAAGGTCGGGATTATTATTTCATGCATACATTTCACCGTGATGGAAGATCGCTTCAAAGGAATTGTACCTGCCGTACCCATTCATATCGATATTCTAGAAACTACCCCAGGAGTTTTGCGGGCACGACAGACAATGATTATATTTTATATTACCATTCCGACCGGCATCTAGATCTCGGACTTCGAATTTCATGTTCCGAGCTTAAAGAATGAGTGCTGTTGGCGGAAATAATAAATAACATGAATGTATGGCTGGAAGAAGACGTTCCGTATTACTTTTCCGGATGCGGATGAAGCTGCTGCGTTTGCGTGATATCCCGCTCCTAAGGCTGGAAGCGAGACGGTTGAGGCTGGGATGTTAATATCCCCTGTCGGTTTGATGTTACTCCAATCAATAATAAGTGTATTGAATTATGTGGATATAGATTTTGGGTGTAAATAATTTATAGGAAATGGGTATTCTTCTGGGTCATGTACATATATCAGAGATATATTAGTGTGGAAAGAATGCGGTGTGTCGTTTGTCTATTGGAATGAATGGGAGGATAACGTAACTGGGACGAGGTGAGATGGCAAGCTCCGGTCTTCAAATGATCTATTTAGTCTTTCTGGGTCAAGTCAAACTTTCATATCACATTCCTTCACCGCAGTTTAACACGTATCTATTGGAGAAGTTTGAAGTGTTGAGATGTGTGTCCCTGAATAAGTGTCCAATCGGATCTTCACACGATGCATGAAAATCGTCCTACATTTAACATCGCATTGTTTCTATCATCCACTTAGTGTTTCTTCTCGTGTTGAAAATCATCCTTTTAAATATATCAATATCACAATCATGATTATATTCACAGTCACAATTTGTGGTAGTAAAGTCCTTGAAAAGAGATTAATTAACTACACTAATTATGCATCACCAAGGAGTCTCAACCAATCCCTCCCAATCACGGATTGAAACATTGATATTTCTTCCCAACCCTAACCCTCCACCCCTAAGAAATCTTTCTGTCACTGGTTGTTACGGCCCTTTCCTTTCCCATGCCATGTCGCAAAGTCACATCCCTTCCCATAATTGCCTCCGAACCACAATCCCGCCCCGCATGTGGTCAGTTGATGTTTCCTCTAATTAGTACCTATATTCCGAGAGAGTACGGGAGAAGGAAGATTTCCTTTCTCATTTATCTTTTCACAAAGCTATCCATACCATGATATTAATGTTTTTCAGGTCCTCAGTGTTTCCCAGGAATGGTCCTTCAGTAATGAAGGCTCTCTAGTCGAGAAGACCGTATATTGGGGAACCTGATGTGCGAGTAAATTATTGAGTCGAACACACCTTTTGATGAGAAGAAGACTTTAGTCTTAAAGAAGACATTGGGGTCGTCAAGAACGACGACAGGACCGATGAGATAGAGTCTTTAGATATTTGCACCCGGCCACGCCTGGTCAACGTTCTTCCCAGGCCAGATAACATCATTAACATTTTCATAGCTATCAATGATGGTATGAGTCTTTCGCATTTCAAAAGGCCATGGATAGAGTTCACCAGTGGTGATGTTTCCCATATCCGGTTTATTTTCTTCGACCTCGCGAGTATAGTGATCCCTATAGTCATCTCTCCAGGTCTTCCTAACTTGAATGTCGGCAAAGGTCTTGAAGAGTCCCTGGAGAGCTTCATCTGGACTAGTAGAAGAAGTCGTGGCAGGCTTGAAGATGACCAGTGTCTCGGCATTCGGATTTAACGCCTTGCCGCATGCAATCATCTTAGCCGGATCGATATCTTTTGAAACTGAGGTTTCTTCTAAAACTCGAATTGCAGAATGTTTGAAGACTTCACCGGTACGCTGGCTACTGGGCTCGGGTGACTGAAGAATTTGGATAGTAAGTGGTGTCCCATATCGATCTCTGTCCAGGATTTGATCAGCCATAGCGTTGATCCGATGAGTGAGGAAATCCGTTGCGTCCGCCGAAGTTGATTTATCGTTCTCATGGAAACATGATGTGGGAGTGTGGTAGCAGAGCTCCTTGCAAGGGAAACTTGTGGTTATAAATCGAGCGATGTCTGCACAACCGGTGAATGAGTGGCCCCAACCTGGTACAACTGTGAGTCTGTCAAGTTGCAGTCCTTGCAAGACCTGCAGTCCGTACAATTGTTCTTCGCCCTCGACGGTCTCAGGGGCTTCAGGCTCCTCACCCTTCATGCGAATGCGAACATTACGGATTCGGCTGATGGTAGAGATTGGTAGAAGGGAGAATTTGTCCAACAGTGGAAAAGTATCCTCAAAGTCGAAGAGGACCCGGCTGATCCAAATGTTGCTAGTCTCTTGGTACATCTGTTTGCAAACGCGGAGGATAGCGAGTGCGTTGCGTGCTGGTAAAACCTTACGATATTCAGAACTGACTTGTCTATGTCCGAATGTAAGACGAGTTGAGTCAAAAAGATGTCCGACAATCATATCCCGTAACTCTTTTGGTAGGTTCAAGAGGCGAGATTCGGTCTTTGGGCGCGAGCTCCTAGTCATGGCCCCGCGATGATTTCTAAGTGGTGATCGGGAGCGATAGGAAACCTGTTGATTTCTGCCAGGGGATCTGGAACGTGAATCTCTTCTGCGTTCAGAATTGTGTTGATTGTCCATGTTGTTGTTGCTGGAAGATGATTGAGAAATTGTGGATGTTTCTCTGTTGAGCGTTGGTAGACGGGAGAGTATTATTGGAATGTCTGAATGGTTTCTTGTTTTTAGTAGAATTTTTTTAGTAGATGATTGAAAGTTGTTCTGTATGAAAAGGTTTAGGAGGAACAGTGGGATAAACTACTCTTTTAACCAGAAATGAAATGGGCTTGAAAGCTCTCTTGCAGCGTAAGTTACGGCATCTTACCAATCATCTAGGCATCATAGACCGTAAACATGTTTTCAAGTTCGCGCAAAGTGGCTATCGACTGTATGGTAGCAATAATCAAAGCGAAAGTCTCGCTTAATTGTGATGAGTGGGGTAAAATGGTTATACTTAGGTAGTTTGAAACGGTGTTTTTTGTTAGGTCACACTCGTGAGACTGCCAATTAGCCGTATATACGCAGAAAAAGGGCCCGTTTGTAATCATTCAGCCTTAAATTTGTAATCATGGGGATAAATTGGCGGTACGGTAGCAAAATGGGTATTACCTAGCATACGCTAAACACTGCTTCTACAATTGCTTGTATGAATCTAAGCGTACATATCTCCTATCTATGATTAAAGAATGTGAATCGGTAATCGTCAAATCTAGATAGCCGTACGGTGATACTGTGAAGCTTAGTATGATACGCTCATTAGTTCATTGCTCATGTAAAGGTAATGCGGCATGAGAAGCAGACAAGCCGTAATAATATGGGTGACCACAGAAGGCAAGAGAGTCAATTAGTGGCTAGTGGTTAGCGGAGGATGAGAGGAAAATGGGATAATTAAGAGGAAGTCACCTTAGATAGAACAGGAGGAGGGATGAGGGAGCAGGGAGGCCGTTTCTTCTAGGGGGACCTGATAGTAGCTTTGTCAACTCGTAATACTATCGATGAGATTTGCCACTCTCTTGTGGATTCACCTCTCTCAATAATACCATTTGCCCCTGTCATCATTCTTCGTTGCCTTTGACTAATCGGAAATCGTACCGCTGAAATCCTCACGAAGGCATTTACGGATGCAGTTCTATTTCTCACTGCATGAACACGCTAAAAGGTTTCAATGTACCATGAGGACTTGCAACAGAAGTCAATACATTTCAGAATATTTGATTGAGGGCTCTGCCATTAATAAAGCTCTAAATTGATTGAACCCCTACACGCTGTGGTGGCCTCTTTGTTATGTCCAAGCTGGATTCCTACATTCAGGGGCAAAGGTTAAGTGGGCAAATGTGCTAACTCATGCTAGGCTTTAAAATAATTGGTTGAGGCCTCCACCAAATGGTTACATTTACATGGCGGGACATTTCACTGGAAAGATTTCGAAGTGGAGGCCTCTAGAAGTTTTACTTATAAGCTTGTGATTGTACCCTCCTTGTGAGATATGCACCATCTGATGAGAGCGTTTTTAGTATCCAAGTCCTCGCTGTGCCCCTCTGAATACTATTCAATCATTTTAGATTTTGCAAACCTGCTACAATACGACCGGTGTCAACAAAATCTGTTCTTCGTGTCTGATAGGGTACGGAACTGCTGATAGATGGGATTTTCACTCGATACCAATGAATGCCGCTTGGGCCTGATACTCTCACCAGCAGTCCGGAAAGCGACAAATTATCAATTTCTGCTCCAAGTGCCTTCAATAGTACACCTATTACTCTCTATTTGTTTCAATTTCTGACATGTCTAAGGTTCGATCGTTCCAAGACTTGCAGAATATACTACACAATCGATCAGTCCTGCATATGATGCCTCTGAGGCTAAGCGCGAGTCTCAAGGTCTTGTAGCTCCATTGAGGAAAGATATACCGTGGAGGTTTCGATCTAAAAACACCGAAGAAACTGTTGAGGATGATTCTTGCGAAGATATGAAAAGACTCGGCATTGGGAGGCCTCAGCAATTTGACAGTCTTTTGGATCAATTCGGCTGTTTTAAAACGTCTAATGGTTCAGTGGCTGTAAGCATGGATGTGGATTGGAAAACTGATATACACGTCAATTTGCAAGATATAACCTATGAGCAGGAAGAAGAGAAGACAATTTTTGCTGTTGAGAGAATTAGCCGTAGAAATTATTATCTTATTGGTTGTGGTACACATTTCGAGACATAAAGGGAGAAGAGCTGGTCGCTTTTTCATTTGAATTTGGATCAATTAGTTTTCTTTTAGTTGGTATCATCAAATAATCTTTCATTACAAGAATTGATTGGCAGTATTGGTACCAGAGGCTTCCCCGTTGTATACGGTATTCAACTATGAATGTCGCCAATGGGAATCATTACCATGCTGGTCCCCAGACACGAATTGAAGCCAAGATAGCACTTCCCCTTGTTCATTCTTGAAGTCGCCGCTCTTGTCACTGGAACCGGTACAGGAAAGTTCTATTCAAACTTTCAGTATCTGCATTCAGTTAACTCCGGAACTTGCATCGCCTGCTTCTTGATTTTCAATTCAGGAAGATCTCTAAGCTGCTCCAGCTGTGACGCGTAGGGATAGGCACTCGGTCAGATTTACCCCAATATGCCCAAATAAAAGTTCCGGGTATTTTGATGGATATTCGATTAGCTGCATATCATATTGTGTAGTGTCCATTAAAACCAGTCATCGATATTTATTACTCATAGGAAATTGTGATAGCGACAGTCAGACCTTGACTCTGACTCTGACTCTGACTCTGACTCTGACTCCGACTCTGACTTCGACTCCTACTTAATTTTTTCGACAAATATCGAAATACAAGCCATGGCAGAGACTGCTGGTCTTGTTATTGGGGGTATTTCACTGGCATCCCTTTTCAATGCGTGCGTGGACTCATTCAGGCTTGTCCAGATTGCTAAAGATGCTGGGATCGATTTCGAGACATGCACGATTCAACTAGATCTTCTGCAACTTCGGTTAATCCGCTGGGGATCTGATGTCCATATCGAAGAGCAAGAGCCTGCCATGGGAAGCGATGACTGGGCAAAAGTGTAAATGGGCCGTGCACACTGCAGAAGGCAGGCAAAAGCTGTTGAATGATATCGTCCTCATTCTGGACTCGTTAGAGAGAATAATACCCTGCTCAAAAGCCATTGAAAATCTTGCACCCATCGAACTCGATGAGCTTTCAAAATTCAACAGCCAGAGTTTAGAAATTGTGGATCGAGCCATGGCGAAGCGCTCCGTTGATCCTCTACTTGAGCAACAACTTGAGAATCTCAATCCACGTCGGTATGCAGCCAGGGCCATGGTCGCTGATAATCATGTGGGAGCGTTTGCGAGATCCGTCGTCGGAGATACAGGAAAGATAGACAGGGGCGTGAAAGCACCTAGACCTAACTCGAATGGAAGCGATGTCCTTGGCAATAGCGTTGACGGAGAGAGGAGAATGCAGGTTGGCGATGATTATATAAGACGCAGTATTTGGGATTGGCGATTAATGAATGAAATTTTTTGATTAGCAAAGGTTGACTTATTCATAGGTGGCATTGTGGTATCGTGTTTTGAGGGAGATAATTAAAAGGCCTAGAATATCAACTATAAATACCCAATCTCAAATTTCACTTCTCTTTCAAACTATGAACTTCAATGTAATGTCTATGAGTGCATAGGAAATATCTCGCTCTTAATCTAATCGTCGCAATTTTTACAGAGCCATGTCACTCTTACAATAAACTACTATAAAGATTTGTGTGCTAGAGGGAGCAATACCTGTAATATAGGTCTAAAGTTTATAGAAATTTTGATTAACTATAATTAAGGTGGTCAGGGTTGATGATTAAGTCTCTCTTGACATATGGTTTTCGGAAATAATTAAAGTATTCATCCTTGAAGACCACTACATATTAGATTTAATGCAACCCCCTACATTGAATTTATAGTAGGTTATAGACTAAGTCTCTGAAGAGATGAGGAAACTTCTGAATGGGTAGACACGCAAGTGTGGCGAGCCTTTTTGCAAGAGTCTTGGCTTTGCCTTGTCCTTGTCCAAAGAAGAACGCCGTAACATCAAGATGAGGCACGAGAAGTGAGAAAAGCTTGAATGTCCCTATCAAAGTTGCCAAGAAACTTTCACCCGTAATGATAATCGGCACAGACAAATTATAAAGCAGCACTCAAGCAAAGCCAGTTAAGTATGTTTAATTCACCAAGAGAAACTTCTGAAATTTGGATTATTGAAATTGAACTGACAATAGCCAGTTTTGTCATACCCTCCGGAAACTAGTCCCCTATTCATCAATTCACTCATACATTCCCGTAAAATATAGAACTAGGTGTTACGTTGAATACTTTTAGATTCTAGAGCCCTTGGTATACGACAAATTGACGAAGACCATGGTCTCTAGCATATTGATTTGCTTTCGCTACGACCCAGGCAGGAGTGTCGGACACGCCCAGATAATTGGCTTTGCCGGAAGAAACGAGGTCATTGAGCGAAGTCATGAGTTCTGGAATGGTGGTTGCATAATCCCACCAATGTACATAGAGAAGGTCTATGTAATCAGTTTGGAGTCTCTTGAGTGATGTTTCAACGGAATGTCTGAGAGACTTAGTTCCGTTGCCTCCAAAGTTCGATTGGATCTTCCCGGAATGATGCTTCTGACAAGGGGAGGAATATTTGGTGGCAAGAACCATTTCATCTCTGCAGTCCCTTGACTTCATCCACTCTCCAAGCCAGGTTTCAGATTGCCCTGCTTGATATCCGTTGGCGGTATCGATGAAATTACCACCTAGACCTTTGAAAGTATCGAGTATCTCAAAAGAAGTTTCCTTGTTGCACTCTCCCAAACGAGCCTTATCTGCATCACCAAAGTTCATGGCTCCAAGGCAGATTGGAGAAACTCGGACATTGGCTGTTGGAGCTAGTTGGCGATGGCGGAAGAGCATAGACTCAGGTGCTGGTGCTGGTGGGAATGGTGGTGCCATTTTGATAATTGTGTGTGAAATCGAGATTAGAATTGAACTGTTGATGGGTTGGACTATGAAGAAGAACTTTGTTTTATGGGAATGATATGTACATCAAGGGGAAGGGATAGAAGAGAACTTTATACCTAGACAAGGACTTTAGATATGACATCTATCTGCCATATTTGCATCATACGCTCGGAGATACAGACGGAGTTCTACCTCTCTAACTCCATGAGAATCATCTAGCATACATCTTGATGAAAGAATGTATTCACCCCATGAACTTTGACTTCATAGCTAGCCATACACTTGTTGCCGAATCGTAGATATTGATATTGATGTTGGTATCCTTGACTACTCCAGGTTGTAAAACCCTAGGGCATTGATATTCGTCCAGGCCCGCAATACCCCCACTGAAGCGCCATTCATTGGTCAATGGCCTATGAATACCACTGACGTATGATAAGCAGGTTGCATAGGACTAATAAGTCGAAGTAAGCTCCGCCGTGGCCCGTGGGGAAGGTCCTTCTTCGAACTTAGCATTATCCTAGGCTTTTGGTTGGATCTTTCAAATTCATCACCCAGAATTTTACCCCTCCAGCTTCTTCAACAATCGCCTACTCATACGAGTTTTGGTTTCATCCTCATTATGCCCGATGTCGTTTGCAATACCAAACTGTAATCTCTAATTCCCGAAAGATTCATTCTCAATTTTCGGACGAAACATAGATGGTCATCGAGAGCTGATTTGCATCATGCCATCCAAAGTCGAGCTCACACGTATGTCTCAACAGACTGGGACCAAATGTATGGACGATGATTGGACCGGAACAAGCGATTCAACAATCAGAAGGAAATTACAGAATCGCTTGAACCAGAGGATATACCGTGAGAGTTCTTCCTATGGATTGTTGGCCTTGAGACTTGGTATTTGCTAAAGTGATTGTCGCTAACTAATTGTTCTGTACGTCCTGTTAGGTCAAAGACGTAAAGCGTTATCGAAAACTCCTGAAGACCGCGAAAACGATTCTTTGATTGAAGCTCCACAGCTCCAAGAGCGATCAATTCTTGGTGAAGCCAAAAGTACACATTCTGCGAACCCCTTATCGATAACGACGAGCCTCCGTAATGAGGAACAATCCAGTCAATTCGAGCGACCAAGCAATTCTTCTACAACATCATCGGCAGATATAAGTATAAAGCGATGGACAACAGGTCGCGTGTCGAGATACCAAGGGTTCTGTGAGATTCGACTGATGCTGGCCACATTCGAAGAAGAAGCTCGTAGGAATTATTCGATGGGCTCTCCACAAACAGATCAACTTCTCACCCTCATTCAATTCAATGTTTTTCGCGCGTTGATCAAAAACACGCGAACAATGGGTTGGAACTTGGATTGGCTAGACTGTACAATCGATCCTCTATCCCCGTGGCTCAATCTTTCCACAAAGTTTGTGCCGGGCGCGCATTGTCCTCAAGCACTGTGTCCAACAAACATTCAGCGCACAATCCCTCATCATCCATGGCTAGATCTCTGGCCAATTCCTCAAATGCGCGACAACCTGTTATTGCATGCTGGAAGTTACGATGAAGACCGGTTGTGTAATGATCTAGTGGAATTTGGAGGCCTCATGAATGAACAATCCGGCCTCATTGTCTAGGGAGAACCGTGGGATATTTCGGGGTGGGAGGTTAGTGAGACTTTCTTGAAGAATTGGGGATGGGCCGTCGAGGGTTGTACAGAGTTATTGGCTTCAACAAATTCTTGGAGGGCGAAAAGAGGAGAGGAAGCTCTTGTTTTTGAAGTCTGAACAAACTGTCTGGCCTTGGGGCGAAGCACCGCATGTTATTCTAAATCAGACATTCACTAATGGGTACTTCCTTCCTACTCGTGCAGCCAGGTATCATATCCAATATCGTATAGCATACACCACCAACACCGCCAACACCCCAACAACAAAGACTACGTGGATGTTGAGTAAGCGTAACCACGAGATAGTCTGCTTGACAGAAATGGCAGAATTACAACTCCATTGGAACACGCATTCGAATAAGGCCTTCCAGGTACCATTTCAGCTAACAATCCATACGCCATATTCTACAATCTACGGGGAGAGATTACGTTACGTCAATCTCAGTTATGGGGGAGGGGAGGGGGCGGGGGGGTATTATCACTCCCAAGTGTTGATACACACGGAGCATCAAACGATCTAAGCTTTATTCATACCTATATAGTTTCGCTGGGTTCAAAAGCTGTTTACAGTTCCAACCTCTCAGGATAAAACTGTATTTTTTCGCCGCACAGCAACATGAGAGAAGGTTCAAAACGCAGAAGGTTCAGCAGGCTCGTGCTATTGAGACAGAGCACAGAATTGACCAACCTCTTTCTCATGGCGTCCCATGATTGGATTTGCGAATTGAAGAGACGAACAAGAATGATGCTAATCAAGGTAACATTTTACGTAGGATACTGAAATCGGTCGATCGGAAGTAGCCTTTCATTGTTCATTCGACCGAGCTGTAGCAGATAAATCTGATTAAGTGAATTTGATTCTCTAATGTGACTTCCATTTCTATTCCCATTTGGTTGTCTTACTGTCAGATGCTCTTGGCACGAGTCAATATTCAACAATATCTCGCGAATCGGCTTGGGCCAAGTTCGGAAAGAACAAACATTTGAAAGAATGTAAAGTTTTTCAATTGCTGTTTGATCTAAATCTCAATTACGACTCGATTTATGGTTTCAAGTGCCAAAGTTAATGTTTCAATCGAGGGCCTCGGAGGTTTAACAATGGCACGGCCGAGTCAAGTGGCTCAGTTGCATACATCACAAAACTCAATGGTTTGAATCAGCCGACTAGCACCAGGACTAAGGCACAACATCAATAATTCTCCACAATTTAGGAAGCAAAGTAAGTACCTAGGTACTAATCGCAACATGCGTCACACGAACTACAAAAATCAAAAGGGTCAAATGGTGGAGGTGAATTGTCCAGGCCTTTCCTACATGACCATAATATGACATAGTCTATTTGTCAGTTCAAAGACATCTCCTGCCTCGGCAGATAAGAAAGATTTTCGTTGTCCAATACAAACTATTGCTTAAAGTTTCTTTTGAATGCCTATGTATCAAGTGATCTTCAATATGCCGTCGATTGGCGCTCTTTCCTGTGGAAACCCGCAACTTCTCATCCCAAAGTGTTCAAACTACCTTATTAAGTTGAGACCTTAAAGATTGAAGAGAACCGGTCTGCACATACATGGCACATATTACCAACCATTTGCAGTCTTGCAAATATTGACAGCTGCTGGGTCCACACTTTCAACGCGCGCTGACCTTGTTTCATTGATTCTTAAATCTCTTGTGTACTGGAACACCTAGCCTCTCTATCCACGAAACTGAATAAAAGCATTGGGGAATCCCTCTTCCTAGAAGAAAATTGGACCCATCCACTCAGGCTCTTCCTTCCCACTCTAACAAAACTTATGATGCGTCGCTCGCTTGTTTCTCTGTGTTGTGTGCTTGGCTTAGCTGATATAGCCATCTCACAATCTACTACCACGCAACAATCTACCGCCAATGCAGAGGCTGCTTTCAAGCAGTTGCAAACATGGTACAACGCCACTTCTGGACTCTGGACCACAACAGGATGGTGGAATTCGGCCAATTGCTTAACTGTCATTGGTGATCTCGCTGCCGTCGATTCAAATGTCAAGTCAGCCGTCACCCGTGTTATGTCAAACACCTTTATTCAAGCTCAAAAATCAAACCTACAAATGATGAAAGTCGTATTAACAGACTATAATTACTTATCAATGTATGGAGATTCTACTGGTGACATGAAAAGCCTTGCTCTGGCAAGTGAATTCCCAGTACATCTAGCAACGATTGTGAATCCTTCGGGCTTCTTGAATGATTACTACGACGATGAGGGGTGGTGGGCATTAGGTTGGATTCAAGCGTACGATATTACAGGAAACGGCGACTATCTGACTACGGCCGCGGACATTTTTGCCGACATGAAAAATGGTGCAACCACACCCTGCTCAACTGGCGCTGCGGGAATTTGGTGGGACAAACCAAATACATATGTAAACGCCATTGCGAATGAACTATATTTGAGCGTGGCTGCTCATCTTGCTAACCGCGCAACGGGATACGATAGTTCGAATTATTTGACCCTCGCCAAAAATCAATGGACTTGGTTTCAAGGGACGGGAATGATCAATGCACAAGGAACAATCAACGATGGCTTGACGAGTTCATGCCAGAACAACGGAGGAACCGTTTGGAGTTACAATCAAGGCGTTGTTCTTGGAGGACTCGTCGAACTTTCCAAGGCAACGGGTGACTCTAGTTATCTTGGTACCGCGAAAAGCATTGCAACAGCGGCAATAGCAGCACTTTCAGACTCAAACGGAATCCTTCATGACGCATGCGAACCAGATTGCGGAGCAGATGGTGCACAATTTAAAGGAATCTTCATGAGAAATCTCCAGAAACTTCACCTAGCATCACCTGATTCCAGTTACCTCACATTTATTGCAAATAATGCAAAGAGCATATGGGCAAACGATAGAAATACAAAGGATAACATCTTGGGTGTTAATTGGGCAGGACCGTTCATCGCACCGGGTGATGCAAGCACGCAGAGCTCAGCGCTGGATGCTCTTGTAGCGGCGGTTGCGGTGGGTGGTGGAGGGATTGCGAAGGCAAGGAGATGGGTTGCTTAATGTGTATGGGAAGTGTGTGTGAGGACTTAAGATGTCGTAATTTTGAACGGTAATAGGGATCCATGGAGTTTAGGTGTAAGCGGTGTTAGGCTATGGTTTTGGGTGACATGGAGCTCGTGTCAATACTTGAGGAGTTTTACGGGATGGATATCTACTCTACTGTGGATACTGGATAGGCAACAGGTGGCATTGTCATGTTGATACCTTGTGTTTTTGAATTGAATACCGAATTGACCATACATCAAACGCTATAGAAAGCTTTCCTAAGTTTCCCCATACAGCAAGTTTCTTTTCGTGATAAGTCGTGGAAATATCCAAGCACATAGTTGTGTGGCAGCAGCAAGAACTTCAGAGTAATAGGTGAAAACTCACATCAAACGCACAAGACGCGTTCTAGATCCACAATCAATAGTCTACAGCGTAGTCGATAGAACTGAATATGTATAAAACTCATCCTTGCACTTGCGCCATCAGGAGAAAAAGAGTCCAAGCTGTGCATTGACATCGATAGCTTCACTATCGCGATTATCTCATGTCCGAGCACCAATCTAGTGGGCGAGTATCTATTGAAGATAAGAGACCCTCGAGCCTTAGAATCGGAGTAATACATGGTAAGTACACTTGGCTACTGATACATGTAATGGATACAGTCTGGACATCGTGAATGCAGAGGCCGGCTTTGTTTCTGAGCGCGTGCTTTATTGGACTTTGTTGAATCTTGTCTTTGTGAAGGACGCAGTCGCGTTTCGTTTCATAGACACAACATCATAAAAAATGAAAGAGATTACAGTATGTATCATGATAGGACATTATTCGTTATTACTGTTCAATCATTAATTACCAATATGGCGTCTACCAAACTGTCTGTCTGTCTGTGTATCCGTATATGCCTGTTTGTACATCAAGATCTATCCAGCAAAATTTTCTCTCCTCCTATTATTATAAATCTTTTCTCTGCTCTCCGCCATAGTAACTCCACCCATCTATCAAACCTCCTTACATACCAACCCCAGATCAGAATTCAGAAAAGATAAAATCTACAACAAAAGAACTGCTGCACCAGCAATCAAAGCAAGCATTGAACCAGCTTGAACAGACGTCGCTGCACCAGTGAAGACAGGTGTGGTAGCTGTGCTTGTGCTCTTTGGTCCGGAACCAGTACCCGATGGAAGGACGCTATAGCTTGGTTTGCTGGTACCGGTAGTGGAGTTACTATATGTTCCTGGAGAACCAGAGCCGGAACCAGAACCGGAACCAGAGCCAGAGCCAGAGCCAGAGCCAGAGCCAGAGCCAGAGCCAGAGCCAGAGCCAGAGCCAGAGCCAGAGCCAGAGCCAGAGCCAGAGCCAGAGCCAGAGCCAGAGCCAGAGCCAGAGCCAGAGCCATGACCTCCTGATGGAGATCCCGAGGGACCAGAGCCAGAGCTGCAATCGGTTGGGGCAGGTCCATCGGCATAGACTGTTACGGTCTTTGGTGGGGCGCACATGGAACCGATGGAAGTAGGTTGGACGAACCAGACGATGGGGTTGGTGAAGGTTACAGTCTCGATAACTTTGGAGATGGCGGTTGTGGTGGCAGTAGAGAAGGCGGTAACAGTTGAGTTCTTGGTCGCGTACGCAGTGGTGGTAGCGACGGAAACAGAGGAAGAGGTAGTGGGGTCAACGCATGATCCGGTAAGAGAAAAGGCATTGGACTGGGCGTAGATGACATAGGTATTGGTTCCGTTGATGAAGTTGAGTTGCCATCCATAATCACTGCTCACGTCACAGGGAATAGTCACATCGACGCTCTTCGCGGATTGTGGAACATTTTGAGCGAGGGAGATGACGGTAGGAGGCCAGTCTTTGAAGTTGACGAGGTAGATGGAGAATTGGGATGCATCAGTATCGACGGAGGACCAGGTCACACTGGTGGATTTACCCTTTGCAACGGTGGAGTTGAGAGTTGGGGTAAGGACGGTGTATGCGGAGGCCGCGGCCACCAAAGTGGTGAGAGAGAAGATCTTGGAGAACATTATGAATATGAAGAAGAATATGAAGATTGAAGAATATTAGTTAATGGAAATTTGGAAAGAGTGTAAGTTGGCAAAGCCTGAGTTGTTCTAAAGAGCGTGGGTGGTAAATAAAACCTAAAGGAGAATATTCTCAATTCTTGAATAGAGAAAATATCTGACAGAGGAAGGATTGGCAAAGAGTGGGTAGCTTGGATGCTTTTGTATTCATCAACCATCAACACCATAATCTAACTAACTCCCTTGGACCAAATCACATTTAGTCATAAGTAATATGTAGGTAGGATGCAAACTTGCGGCACATGTTTGTGTAATTTCCCTTCATACCCCTGATTTTAGTACTGATCTTACTTGCCTAAATCCCATCAAATCAACGCCAGGATTACAACCTGTGAGGCACAGTTAAAATAAGATGGTAAGATGCAAATGATGGATGGATATTTAGGATGAACGGATGGATAAATTCATAGGTTAAACTTTTTCCATATTATAATATTTACATCGACACATCGAAAAGTCGTGTTGAGTAGGGATATATACAACAAATCTCTAATAATATCGGTCGATATAGATATGGATTTGTTTTATCTATATGAGATTTAATGAAACAAAATCAACGACAATAGAATTTTTTCGACTTTCGACTTTCGAACGATATAAGGCTGCTTCAACGCTTTGATTGATTGACATGTGTAGCGGGGTGTCGATCTAGAAAACCCCTGATGAAAAAGCAAACAATAGACTAAGGTTAAGTGAATGCATTAGATAGTCTTGATAGTCTCGGTGGACCTGCAGTTATCCGGTCCCATGTAGCCGAATGTATTCAATATCTAGCCAATCTGTCTCTGTTCGTCCAGTTTGGTGGTACAGAGCGAGATAACATGTACATCACGATTAACCGTAATTACCATGCATCACACAATGATACAATGTTGGGCGACCAACCTCAGGGTGTACACACACACACGACCATTAAATCCAAATCAATGGTTCATAATCGAGAGAGGTTTTGGTTGGAATTATGGCTGTGGTTCGAGCAAGAATTTCACTACTATACAGCTCGTATCGTTCGAATTGAGCAATTTCAATATATTGCAATTGAAGTCGACAGGGGTATTATACCATTAGGTTACCAATCAATTGTGAACCCTATGGACCAGGAAATATAAGAAGGAAAAAAAGAAAATTGACCGCTGGCCAGTGCAAAAGTTTAATTTCCACAAGGATATGCACGAGGCTGCATGACGCTGCACGTACGGTTAACGGGGTCTAAACGAGAAAATCGTTGACAAATTTGGTAAGTTTCTATCGGAGATGTGATTGGAATTGAGTTTTGGGGTAAGCAAATATTGGGGAACTCTACTACGTACAATACCACAATACTACAATACCATGTTCCTCTGCCTATGATTATGGTAAGGAACCTTATTTGCTTAAACGCCTTATGGAGTAGTCGAGCCTCCTGCAGCGTGTGCTCGAACTGAGCTGAAGGATTGCTATGTGACTGGAAGTAAAGACCCGATTCCTAGGGAAGGTAAATCAATGCCAGACATATCGATACCATACAAAAATACACGAACTAACCAATGAAAGTGACTCGGGGTAAAGGCATAAAGTCTGACCATCTGAACAATTTTCTCTTCCTCGGCCCTATCCGAATGAAATGATTCTTGATCCATCAAGCTATCCGTACAATACCACCCTTGCTGCTTCATCTACCAAGCAACTACACAATGTATTGTACTCCAAAACAAATCCATCTTATGCGAATCCATACATGTTCTTGATGATGTCGCTTGCCTTCTCTGCAACAGCATACAATGTACTAGTCAAATGTCCACTAAGCTGATGAGGCAAAATGGATGCATCGACTACTCGCACATTACTGGTACGATAGACCTTCAAATTCGAATCCACGACTCCGCCAGACGTTATCCCCTGCATAGAGCACGTGCCAACAGGATGATTGTTTGAGCCAACTAAATTATTATCTGTTTAGCAAGTGCAATCCTAAAAGCTGAGACGAGATGATAGCCTAGAATCCTCATGGGGAAGGGCTTACATGTTGATTTGATCCAAGTTTCCCATTGCAAATCCGTAGCATTTTTGGGAACAACAGAATATCCTGGTGACATTTCCGTAAATGCACTCGCCAATGCTTTGGCTGCCCAGAATTTCCGTGTCCATTTTGCAATAGCCACTTGGACTTTCAGATCAAAGTCCACGAGAAAGAAGTTCGGATTAATAGCTGGATATACGGCAGGGTCCGCAGAAGAAACATGCACATTCCCTCGAGAAAATGGTAAGAGGGTCCAAAAGGCTGTATAGAGATATGTTCCGGGCCCAGATCCGGTGTTTACTGTGTTCCCAAAGATGACCTCGATATCAGGGACATTTTGGTTGATGAGATCATTTTGTATGGTCAAGAGGTAATTCATGGCGCCAGGTGAAATTGAACCATTGATTGCTGCAGATATTGAGGATGCCCAAGCACTGAGATTCGCAGCTGGCACACTCGGAAGGATGGAAGATAATGGAGCATATGTTACATATGGCACTGTTCCGTTGTATGTGGTGTTGCTTTCATAGGCAAATGCGTTGTTAGGTTGATCTTGAAGATTTTCTCCTACGCCAGGAAGAATTATCTTGGTCGGTATACCATATTTTTGCAAGATGCTAAGCTTGTCAGTCCTGTCGCCTACTCGCCATGATTTCAAGGACCTACGTTGGATTCCCGATGCCGGACAGCTCCAAAATCGCTGGGGATTTTAAACTTCCAGCTGAAACAATAACCTCCTTTGTCGCATTAATAATCTCAATCTCACCGTTTGTGTTTAAAACTTCTACACCACCTGCCGTATACGTTGCTCCCAAATTACCAGCCCAAGCGATTCTTCTGGCGGTAGTATTCAAAAATACATGCAAGTTTGGCCTACCCTGTACAGGATAGTAATAAGCTCTCGCGGCATCTTCTCTAATATTCTTCTCTCGGTCCAGCGTAGATGGTCCCACCATGTGTCCAGTTACATTTCCGCCATTTATATCTCGACTTCTCTTCACGCCGAGAGATTCCCACGCTCTCCCTACTTGGGAGAAAAGTGTGCCGTTGTTAAGATCATACGCATATCCAACTTTAAGAGGTCCATTTTGTCCGTGAAACGCCGGGATATACGATGCGCCTGCTGCTGTTTGAGCTGCAGTTGGAATTGTAAAACTCTCGCTCTTCTTGTAGTATGGATAGAGTGTAGACCAATTCCAACCGGTATTTCCAAGTCCAACTTGCCATGAATCAATTTGTTGCAATGCTGCGCGTACGTAGGTCATTCCTACCATTGATCAGTTGAAGACTCTAAGCTATCGTTTATTATGAAAGTACTTACCATTGATCGTGCTCGTTCCCCCTAATGCTTTTCCAGCATTATATCCCAGTATTCTACCACCGGCATACGTCTGACTCGTCGTCGCATATTGCCAGTCAATTGCTGTGTTGAGACCTAATGTAAATCCATCTACACTGCTGACATTGGTATTGTTAAGAACCGAAAAGCCGGCCTCGATTACAGCGATAGTAATGTTGGGAATTTCTGATAGACGATTGGCTACCACGAGACCAGAGGTTCCGCCGCCAATTATCACGAAATCATATGCAGAGACAATGATATTGTAAGATGTAAAGAAGTGTCCCAAAATAATGTGAGACACCAAGGAACGAACTGAAGAATTTTTCGTCAGGAGCATGACGGGCGACTTGCTCCGGTCAATCGTCTAACGTACTTTCAAAGTGGAGATAATTGAGATATAATCAGAATCAAAGTTCGTAAATCCACACAGGGCAATAGTGCACATATATACTCTTCTTGCTGGACAGTACGGGCCGATTCCCGTGCTCGTCGTCGCTCGTGAATTCCCGAGCAATGAAAGATGACTGCAAGGTACCCCGCACACGGAATCGCCCACCAACCCATGCACTCTACATAATTGATGTTGATCAGCTACGCCAATCACATTAGATCTTCTGAATGCTTGTGATAGGCTTCTGGCAGTTATTATGAAAAGAAGCCTCACGATGACGAGCAAATTAAAATTGGAAGAAAAACTAGAATTGATGAATATTAACAAAGTATCATACGATCCAAAATATCCAAAATCACTGGAATATCCTTTCGACTACTGCAGATACGAAGAATACCTAGGTGGTACAAGTTCAGGCACCAACGAACCCCTAAATTTGATCAAACCAAACGCCAAATAAAGTACAGATATTAAGCAAGCCAGAATCCATGACCGTCCAAACTCCAAAGTAGTACAACAGCCACTATGGTATCCAGCCCTTATATTCATTGGAATGAGACCTTGCCGTATTTATCCTCGACAGGTCTTTCATCGCCAAAGCAGAAGTAGCCTCGAGAACTTGGGGTCTTCGTATCTACGCCTCCTTCGCTTGCCCATTGCTTCTCCATTTCTTCTCTATGCTTACTCTTTGGCTTCCCATCCCTAATGCGCAACTTCTCGAAAAATACATAAGCAGCATAGTATGTAGAACTAGTGTTTCCAGCACTTGGTCCCTTCTTACCCAAGAAATCATTCAAGACTTTAGATTGGATTTTTTTCTCCTCGGGGTAGGTCTTTGCAATTTCACGGAGAAAAGCAGCTTGTGTCACACCGGGTTCGCGAAGGTAGGCACGTATCTTCTTGCGAATTTCATCGCAGCTATCATAGATAGGAACGGAAATCGTGGATTCTCCATCGAGCTTAACGGCGGAAACATCAAACTTCTTCACTTCTTCGGCTTTGCTGACCTTTGGCTTTTTGGGAGGCTTGACACCTTGTAATCTGATTTCTATTAGTCACAAGACTAGTACGAGGATCTGAGTGACTTACTCCCGCTTTTTAAAGAAAATAAACGCGTTCAAGTAAACGTTGCTCTGATCTCCCTTGAATTTGCCACTTTGGCCCATGAATGCACCATAACTTCTGCTATTGGTGCCAATCTTTTTCTGAAATTCAGTGACTTTCATCTCGCCGCTCTCGAGAAAAGTGCGGATTTTGCGACGAATTTGATCGCAATTTTGATCAACAATGTGAAGTCTTTCATCATCACTATCGATTTCTGGTAGGTCTTGTGGTTCTTCAATTTCAGAAGCTTTGCGTTTGTTATCCGCAGCTGGTTTCTAGTTACAGCGTTAGATTATGTATAAGGAGGAAGAAAAAGTGTCATATTTACAGATGCAGGGGTTTTGACTGGAACCTTGGCCTTTGACTTTGGGGGGGGAAGGATTGGAGCGGGGGGCGTTCTAATGTTGCTGTCTGCAACATTCAAAGGTTGCTTTTCTGCTGTATCACTCATGATTAACCCAGATTGATAGTGATATTTATTCTGAGGGTGTTTTACATAGGTTGATTGTCAATGTTATTGAGCAAAGAGGACAGGAACAAAAAGGATAAGATAAGGAGAGGTGAGAGAAATGACGTTGTAAAACTCGAACGCGTAGATATGGTCATGTGATCACAACACAAATAGACCAAGCGTTCTACCACGATCTCTCCTCTCGATTCACATAATCACCAAATGACCTCTATCTTTTAGCTGAATTATTATAATACCACTTCTCTGTGAATAGAAATTGAACTTCTAACTCGAAGATTGAAGCTACAATTTGATGAAGCTTATTCGACGAAGTATTCGAAGAAGAGCAGCAAGTTTGACCCCCTTCAATGAGATCTTACACTTAGCATTCGAGGCACACGCTCCCACCTACCCATCAAAAACAAAGACTTAGATTGAAAGCCTTCCACAAATTTCAATCCCCGTTGCACTGACACCCGAATTTTCTTGAAATACGCGTTTGCCATATTAGAAGTCAACTTTTCGAGACATAGAGAACTCCATTTGCTCCACAAACAGCCCAAGGATATATTAAGCTACGATCGTAATACTGCCAGCTGGTCGGGCTACGCTCGACCCTCACATCTCTCTTCCCTGTCCGCCTGGAATTTCCTCTTCAATACCTAACCCCTCCTACAATTCATCCTTCACATCCTTCTTAGGGCCTCCCTTAACAACCCTCTCACAAACCGCCGGAGTCCCAACATCCATCCGGTAATTACACTTTTCCATCTCTACAACCTTCCAAATCTCATCTTTCTCAGCACAAGCCAACACAACAGTCGTGGCCCTATTCGGTCCATTCCAACAATGTTGCCCATTCTCATATACCAAAGTGGTTCTGACCCCCTTACCAAGACCCTTACCCTCGGCATCAACTTCTTCGTCAACTTCTATTTTATCGAATCGGACAAAGTTACCCATGCCAGTATTTCCACCACCCTTTTTGGATTTTTGTGACGTCTTTTCCATCCAGCAGAGTTCGTAGTCATATTCACCTGAATCTTTGGATACACAGGAGCCTTTGAGAGCGCGGAAAATATCATCTACACCATAGTCTTTCTCAAGGTCGGATTTGAGATTAGAAAGGGTGTTCTGTTTGGTTCCAACATCATCGCTGACAGCTTGATAAGCATTTCTCGCATCTTGGACAGATTTAGATTCGGAGCCAGAATTGGCGTTATCAGCCAGAACACCATTTTCAATGAGGATGATACGGAGATCGGTGACCTTTTGGTGAACCCAGGTACGGATGGATTCTGGGAGGTATTCTTCGAATTTGTAAACTACTTTGTATTAGTGGTGATATGAACGATAGATAAGAAATCTTCCAATATGATGCTCCGCTGGCCCGTCGGGGCAGCTGCCTTGGAGACGGACTAGCAGAAAAAACCACCACCTTCAAGAGCAACAAGTTGTGGTGTCTAGGGGCTTGCCTTAACTGAAAGGGTGGAGGAAGGGTCAAAGATAACTTACGAGCATCAACATCGCTTTCCTCCTCATCGTTCTCCCAGGTCTCCCATTCAATCCCATCATTCTCAGCCTTAGCCGTCTCATCCACAGCAGCATCTTGACTTTCAGTATCTTCTGCTTCACTAGCATCCTTAGTAGCAGCATAATCCTCCCAAGCTTTGACTGCTCTCTTGACACCTTCATCGTTGAAGTTGGGGTTACGCTCCTCCTTGAATCTTGCCAGAATTCCTTCCAGCTCATTGACCTTATTCTGCAAAGCCACTTTCTTTGCTTGAACACCTGTCAAAGCATCTCTCAATTCTGCAACTCGAGTTTTAGCCATTAATGCCAAAATTGAGACCTTGCTGGTCTTCCCCTCCGAGGTCTTAACAACCTTCCCTCTCTCCTTCCTCTCCACCTCCTCATATTTTTGCTTGAGCTCCTCTTCTTTCTTCTCCAATTGGCTAATCTCCAATTCCGTCCTGCCAATACTCATCTGCACATCTGCTCTCAGCCTCTGCGCTTCATGAATCAATTCATCCCTCTTCTTGTTGGCCTTGGCTTGTGCCTTCGTCCTAATATCATCCAATCTCCTCCATTCCTTTCCAATCTCCGCACATTTATCCGCACATTTTGTTCCCCCAACATTCTCCCACTCATCACTCCCATCACAGCACAACTCATAATCGCAGACTCCATCATTTACATATGTAAAAGGAACATAAGTTGGTATGTGACCCTTGTTCTTGCAGTAATATCCTGGCAAGGCTAAACTTGTGTTGTGTGGACTTGAGCCAGTAGTGCCTTGTAATGGTTGAGGAGGGGACAATTTGGATAGATAAGTACAAGCACTTGTGCCTGGCTCGTCACTTCCATCTGGACAATCGCAGTAATCATCGTTCACTTTGGAGATATCGATTGAAATGGAGGGGTTTGAAAGACATGTAAATTTGTCTGCTGATTTGTAGAATTTCGCAACTATGTAGCAAGAAATAAGATATTAGCTATTGGGCTTCCGGACGTAGTTGTAACCTTTTCAGATAGACTGCCTTCAACAGTAGTCTCCAGATGGCCAGCGGAACGACATTTCCATTAGGGGTCTTGCTTATTCCGTTGCTAGAAACGAAGACCAATGCTCAAATCCGCCATTTCTTCGCTGCGCCTGACTCTCATATTTCATTTTTTTACTTACATTCAGGACCAACACCTCTTGGTCTCGAAGCTTCAGCCGCAAGAACCGAAGTGGAAATCGTGCTTAGAAGCACTAATGCTTTTGCTGCCACCATTCTCTCACAATTTTGAGATTCAGTATATAGGCAAGTTGTATTTTGCGAAGGACAATATATAAAGAAATTATTGCTTATTGAACTATGACATTTGGAATAGGTAATCGAGATAAGCTTGAGTTCAAGCTGTTTGTGGGGTACAATGTAAAGATGCCAGCTTGCCAACTTAGCGAACAGACCTACTATGTAACCTCAAACCTCAAACATCCAATATTCACGTCCGACTGGTGATCCAATCAATTAATCAAAGTCAAAGTCAAAGTTGCACAGTACTATTATTGAAATATAGGTTTGTGTCCAATGATCGATGTTCTCACTTCCGTATGATTACACAAAAAGTCATCTTAATCTCCACGATAGTGGGCCGGTATGCATCACAGTTTCATAATGAGTCCCAAGAAATTGTGTATATTTTTTCAATTGTTTTCTTATGAATTCTGATGATGGCTCGAATGCGTACTGCATGAGCTCTATCCTCATTCGATACCGGTTCAACTACACACCACCCAATCCACCATACGCGGCCAGCTCACAAAATATCCATCAATCCCATGCCTAATAACCCAGTCCTGCTGCGCCATTAAGTTATCCCAATATGCTACATATTCCCTCCCTCCCATTTCATCGACCTGTCTCCCCATTGTCATTGTTTTCCAATTTTTGGTATGAAACAAAGAGACACTTGGTCGAATTCCTTCTTTGCCGTTTCAAAAACTCCAATATGCCGCTGTCCTATTTTGTTGCCGCGAGGCAGATGTACAAAGAAAACAGTTCATGTAAAACATTAAGATCGAATAAATAGAAATTAACATGGCTTGTTACCATGATAACGCAATTAGAACATACTTCCATCCTGAACTGGTGTCGGTCCTCTTACACCTCCAAGTCCGGGAGAAAATTCTGGCATGGCCGGACTTGGCGCATTATAAGCCTTCTCCCTGGCCTGAACATTGAGATTACCTCCCTCGCTAGAACTTTTTCTTAATCTCTGCTTGTGTTTCTCCCTGGGTGTTGCCTCTTCATCAGAGAAGGTGCTCATTTCTTCGTTACTCTGCGAAGACAATGGAATCTCATTTTTCTCAAGGTGTTCTGAAGGATCCTTTTTTCCCATAATCGCATCAAACATGGCTCTCGTCTGTCTTCTTCTTGGGTTGACTGCTGGAATAGGTGGGGGTGTAGTGTTTTGAAGGCTCGATCCAGTTGGAAGATTGATTGTTGAGATACGAGAAGTGGATGATATGAAAGTTGGTTCCGAGATTTCGGACTTGGTAACTGACTTCTTGCGAGCAGCTATACGGCTATTTGCCTGAGAAGTTGTTGGAGTCGCTGATCTTGACCCAATTGGTGATGGATCAGCTAAAAAAGGTGTAGAATTTACTGAGAAGGGGGTGACAGGCGATGGTCTAGGCGAGAGACCAATTTCTAATGCATCACCAGTCTGGAGAGCGTGCATATTGTGTGGATCAAAGTAACTCGAGGGCTGTGGCTTTCTGTTAGTCCTGGGTCTCGAGCTCATCGCTGGGGATGGAAGTGGGGATGGGCGACCGGAAACACCAGGTGACAAACTTGGAGATGAACCAAGAGATAAACCGGACACGGTAGGTTTGAGCATGAGGCGAGCATTCTGAAGATCCTCAACGACCCCTTGACTCGACGTGCCCGTTCCCTCGGCCATTGCTTTAGCTAAATCATCCTTGTATCTACCATTGCGACTTCTAGATCGGCCAGAGGCATCAGAACCTGAACGATCACGAGAAGTACGGGATGCAGGTCGTGACCCGGAATGATTCGTACCTATACTACCCTTGCTCTCCCTGTTTACATTTCGTTGGGAATGGGTTACTGGTGGGGGCTTTCTCTCTCTACTTTGAGCTCTGTGACGTGGTGCCAGATTACCAGACACATCATTCATTCCCTGCATTAGTCTTGACTCATAAGGATGCGCTTGTCGAGGGTCGCTAGGTCTTGGATTGGACCAATTAATCTCATTGAAATTGCCGTCACCTTTCTGTTGATGTCTCATGGCTATTTGATGCTCACGATCGCGTTGAGCATCTCTCCGAGCTTGTCGGAAGGCTTTCATCTGAGGAGGTGTTGAAGAAGTAGCGACATTTCGAAGCATCTCTTCTTCTTCCTCCTTCCATGAGCTATCATCAATTCTTTGCTTTGGTGGTTGGGGAGGGCCGTTTTGTGCGACTGGGCTGCTGCCTATTCCAAACATCT